CAGAAGCCAAAATACAAAGCAAGTTGGGAAAGTTTGTTCCAAGAATTCCAGAGGAAACATATTCTCCAATTGCTGAAATACAGTTTCTTGAGCACTTCTTGCTTATTCTCAAAATGCAAAGGAAAACTAACAGGTTTCAAACTACCTCAGAAAAAGTAGCCTACTTTTTAATATCAGCAGAAATACAAGCAAAATATATCTCCTTTTTGCAAAGATAATAGTAACACAGTGTTCTCACAGTTATAGAATTTTTGTAATGTTGTCAGTCACATACCTTAATTACAGACTCTCTGTGGGTGAGTCAATTCACAGAAATTTTATTTAGCCTCTATATTTTAAGTTTATTGAATGAGAATGTCAAACATCAATTTTATATATGTCATTTAACAAGAAAATGAGTACATAATGGACAAACAGACTTCCAAGAATTTACCGTGTCTAATATCTGATACTTAAGATTCTCTGAGTGTTTTTTTTTTTTTTTTTTAGAGCTACGTCTCCTGCTGGGACAATAATTTAACACAAATTTAACACATTTTACCCAATTTACGTACTGACAAAGAGATGAACTGTTACCACGTGTGTAACGATAATTGCAGCAGGGTTGTTGAAGCATCTTGTGACAAACTCTACTTTCTTAGAAATTGTTTACAAATTCCGAATGAAGGCATCTGACTTTCAAGGTATTATTTTTTGTTGTAAGATAAATTTGCTTTATTGATAAAGATACACATGTACCAGGTATGTTTACGCTGAGAAGAAGCAAAATGTTGATGATTACTGAAAAATGTAAAGCCATTTATTTCGATCATGTTGTTATCACCATTGAAATGAGACAATCTGGGTGAAATAAAATTTCAGACAAGATTAAGAGCCCACTTTATAGATATTAGACACTAACTTAAAATGAAGGACAGAGAGATCAGGATGTATTCATACTTTGCTACCATATTTATGACATTACCTGTTACAAACCATTGAGATATACTTAGTTCTTCATAGATAAAATCATGTTAGTCTCATATAATTATTTTTGTTTAATTTTACAAATTTGAAATCTTGAATCTCTACATATATGGAATGTTACTGCTCTGCCAATTTTCCTAACACCATGGCTTAGTCTGTTTTGTACTGCTCTAACAGAGTACCACAGACTGGGTAATTTATGAACAACAGAAATGTATTTCTCACAGTTCTAGAGGCCAGAATAAAATAAAGGTACCGGCTGGTTTGGTGTCTGGTAAGGGCTTGGCCTCAGTCATCCAAGATGGTGCCGCGTCTCCCAGAGAGGAAGAACACTGCCCCTCACGTGTTAGAAGAGCAGAAGAGAAAGCCGTCTCTTGCAAACTCTTTTTATAGGGGCATTAATCAATTCTTAAGGGTGAAGCTTTTATAACATAAATGCCCTCATTAGACCCAGCCTTCCAACACGGTTGCATTAGGGATGAAGTTTGCAATGCATGAGTCCTGGAGGGAACAAAGACAATCAAAGCATAGCACACTATTTGCCTGGGGATTGCTACACAAAGTTCCACTCAATAATTTTCTACTCATATGGTAAATATTCACTCATTACATATGTAGACAGCATCTCTTAAGTGTCAAAAGTGGTGCGAGAAAATGCAAAGTAATGTTGATAAAACAGCCACAATTCTTACTCTCATAGATTAGACTCCTATCATCTTTTGTTCCAATTGCTCACACTTGCTTTTCTTTTATCATGTAGGTAGACAAATGACATCCTTCAGGATGCCTTCAAAAAGGGTATTTTGAGATTCGAATGTCAGACAATGTAGAATGAATCATTTTTGAGGATGGATTTAAGAAAGTGTCTACCTGCGGTCCTGGAAACCACTCCTCCTTTCCAAATCTTGGTTATTTATTTATTTATTTTTCTGCTTCTGGAAGTCATTCAAAGCCGCCAGTCCCATTTCCATATCTCTATTCAATTCTCAGACTTGGCTATATGTGGCCTGGCTCCAAAAATAGACAAACATTGCGTAACTTACCAGGAGCTATCTGAGCTACAATAGAGGAGCAAGTTTTTCTGCTATGAGTGAGGTGCTAAGAGTTAACATGAGAACTTCAAAAAGAAAAAAAAAAAAAAAAAAAAAAAACAGGTTTGGAGTAGTGTGTTAATGAGATGTCAGTAAAACCTGGCTGTAGATTAGTAAAATTAATACATGAAAGGGATAGACTAAAAGTGCAAATATAATAATGCTGGAATGAAGGAGAGTGGAAGACATGGACATTCTTACTACATGCAAATCACAGATAATACTTAGAGATATATTTATAAAGGATATTATTGCAGTTATCTTATATTGCCTCCCCAAATTGAAGGTTGTTTGTACTATTTAATCACACATGCATAGAATATGTAGAATACCTACATATATATATATGATATTTATCCATATACGTTTATATACCTACTTGTCAAGTAAAAATGAGCATGATACGCTGCATTAACATTCACAAAGCTCTTTCAAAATACTGTGAAATAGTCAATTCTCATAATTGTCCTTTCATGCTGTCAGATTTCACACTGATGCAAGGACAACATTTTCTAGCACCAAAAGAAAAATACTTGTCAAATGTTAAATTACAAGATTCAGGAGGCATTGAGCCATTATTTACAAAAACTTTCAAAAATGGGCTGCCCATTAGCCGGAAGTGGTGCTTTGAAGATGATTCAAACATAAACAGGGAGCCTGACATCATAACCTTTCCCACTCCTTCAGAACATTGTGATTCTCTAATTATCAGAACGATGTCTTTGTTCATACCCCTTGGCTCTGCTTCACTGTGAGAGTGTTAAACTCACTAACTCTACTATTTTCCAGATGATACTCAGGGGCCATTTCCTAATTAACCTGGTTCTTAGCATGGTATTCATTCATTTTTGGTATTACTGACACTTTTATGAGCAAAACCGCATTTCCTACTTACACAGCTTATCAGCTGCATTTTAGTCAAACTGGTACAACAAGGATAATGTTCTCAACCTCTAATGAAGGACTTATAACATTTTTTGCTATTTTCACTTTACTCTATTTAATTGCTGCAATGATAAGGCAAACAGTTTGTTGAAAGCTTTTATATTTTCAAGATCTAAATAAATTAGTTTATTAGTCATGAGCATTTTCTATTTAAAACAAATTAATATTATTGAATGTTGAAATTATCACTCTTAAAACTGCATGGATAGTTTAATTCAGCTGAAATATAACAGTGAACAAGGGAGAGAGATCTGTCAAAACATCAGCACTCTGCAGAAGACAGTGTAGTTTGGTGGTCATGGCCTTCACATACTATGTGTCTTAGATGAAGTTATAAAATGACATTAAACCTTGTTTTTAATTCTGTGAATGAGAATAATAATAATGCTTTTCTCACACAAACATTGATGGTATTAGTTGAAATTGTGCAGTTAAAATATTTAGTACAGTGTCAGATACAACAGTAATTAATCAATAAATGATACAGGACAAATGTCCTAGAAAAAGAAATACAGAATCTTGTATTTGATCTATATCTCAAGTGAGAATTGCTTTCCAGAATTAACTTGCAGGTAAGCTGGGTCATTTAGAAATAGAAGAAATGCCATGCGTAACCCCCAAATGCTACTGCACTATCCTTTCACAGAGATAAGTTTGAAAAACCCTGTGCAAGCAGAAGTTGGTTTTCCCTGAACATCAGGAAGAGGATTTTGCAAGCCAGACACCTACCAGTTCTGATTCTATCTCCCACCTCCCCAGGCATTTTCTCAAAATGACACAAGTCTTCTTGGATAGTCAAAGGAGTCACTGGTGTTGTGCTCTACAAAACCTAATATCTGGAATCATTGTGCACTTTATGGAGAATAATGCACAGGAATTGCCTGTGAATGCTTTTTAATAGGAATATAAGGAATCTTGGAGTCAACATCACTGAAATTATCATAAATGACCTAATGGGACCTTCTATAGAGATTGTAGACTCTCTCTGTCTAACTACAGAATTAAAAAAAATTAATTCTAACTATAGGTTTAGGTATCATAGAATAACAAGAAAATCCCACACTATATTTTCTTAAAAGTACCACCTTTCCAAAGCATATACTCTAGTGGGAGTGTGTAGTATATCATTAAGGGCTATAATTAACAATCCGCAAAGGCCTAGCTCTCCTTCCTGCACTGTTGGAACAGACAGATGATATTTTAGAAATTTCCAGTCTTCAAGACAGAAATTAATAATTCATCTGAACTAATTTATTTCAGAGCAATGTCATTTTTCTAAATATAGTTCAGTTACACATCTGTTTGTTGACATTGTAATTGAGTAACCATCAGACTATTATAAATGTAAGACTTTTTAGTTTGATTTAAAAATAATTTTAGATTATTTTTGTGGAAAGCAGACTAAATAACAGTGAATCATATAGGAAATAAGGAGCATTTATGAAGATGCTGTGGAAGCCCTGCTGAGTTTTGCCTAAAATGTTATCTTAGTCATTCACTGACAGATATTGATCAATCAATTAAATTGTTCCTTATTCAGTGAGAAATACAACACACACACACACACACACACACACACACACACACACATATAAAAGAATGTTCTTCATATTCAAGTATACTACTTGGTAAATAATTCCACAGGTGCCATTGGCCATCACATATTATACTAGCACTGTCCAAATGCATGTGAATGACATATGGTGAATTCTTGTTGTATGTTACAAAGGGTATGTATGGACTTTAAAGTCAGAATATTTTTATTATAAATTTTAAGTTAGTTTCTTTGCTCTATGACCTAGATGTTTACTTTATCTAGTGTTGAGTTTCCTAATATGTACAACTCAGAAAATAATTCTAATAATGCCACTGCAATAATGGTCCAGGTACCAACACATTATGAGGGATACATAGAATGTTAATCTGAGTAACAGACCCGAGTGTATTAAAAATCCAACTGAAACAATATATATGGTGCTGGAAGACAGAAGTATTTTCTTCATCCTTTCACCCCACGTGGGCACCATATGTACACATCCATTTTCATCGTCACCTTCATTTACTTTGTTTCAGAGCTACCTATCTCTTCAGCACCACTCAGTATACATATATACATCTCTTCAGGTTCGTTTCACCATGACTTACTCCTTTTACATAAGGCGGTCCATTCTATCAGGCAATAAAGGCCAACATTTTAGCAAGTTTTGGCACTTGCAATCCTCTTAATTTAAGGTTAAAGCTGACAAAAAGCACAATGACTCAGAAGATGTTTAAGAGTCACATCATCTGGAACTGCTGGCAGATTGGCTTTAAGGGATAAATAAAAGGAAGATTAAGGAAGGCTCTGTGGATTCAAAACTATGTGGATGGTGACACTATTTACTGAAATGGGGAAAACCAGGAGACAGACAGGTCTGGATGAGGGGGTGAAATTAGGAGCTATAGTCTAGGCAGAGCAAGTTTGACAGGCCTAATGCATACGCAACTCAGAAAAGGTTTGCAGAAAAGAAAAGATTTACAGAACAAGCAAAGATGCTTTAAAAGTTAGCCTGAATAAAATTCATCAAGGCCTAGTATTGCAATTATTATCAGGAATCTTCGTTATTATCAATTATTAGGAATCCTCATTCCTAAATAATGGAAGATTTTGGACCCAAAGCTATACAGCTTATAGGAATCTAATATAATGCCAAAATTTGCTTATTTAAGCTGTCACTTATCAATTTTGTTTTATGAAAAAAATGTTTATTTTTTCAATTATCACTGCTTTTCTTATTTAGTGAATATCTGTATTTCACATATTTGTCCAGGAGCTAAGAACCAGGAAAGGAAAGATGTAGCTCCTGCCTTCATAGACTATATTCCAGTAGAAGAGTCAGGAAAAAACAGGTAAATACCAATAAAATAACCTGAAGAAAAAAAATTAGAAGACTGACATCAATAATACAGGAGGAAACATTCTTTAGTAATTTTAGAGAAGACCTTTTTGTGGATTATATTTGTGCTGAAAAATAACTAATGAGAAGAAAATAGCCATGAAAATAGTGAGGTTTCATAGCATTTAAGGAGGAAGAAACAGTATGCCAATGGCCTTGAGTTGGCACAAAACTGATCATGATCAAAAAACTGAAAGAAAACCAAAGTGGCTTTACTTTATTTCAATAGGTTGCATGGATGCATAATTTAAGAGTCACTGACTAGAAAAAAACTTAATATGAAATATGTCAGTATTTTGGGTAAATCATAGTTAATTCTACACTTGATCTTAGCCAAAAGGCCAAGAAGCGATAATCATAGTTAATTCTAAAAGCAATGGATAGTCATTAAATAATTTTAAGCAAGAAAGCAATACTTCCTTATGTGGGTTTATGCTTTCTTTTTTTATTATTATTATACTTTTAAGTTCTGAGGTACATGTGCAGAGCGTGCAGATTTGTTACATAGGTATACACGTGCCATGGTGGTTTGCTGCATCCATCCCCTGTCATCTATGTTAGGTATTTCTCCTAATGTTATCCCTCCCCAATCCCCCCATCCCCTGCCATACCTCTCCTAGCCCCCAACCCCGACAGGCCCTGGTGTATGATGTTCCCCTCCCTGTGTCCATGTGTTCTCATTGTTCAAAACCGACTTATGAGTGAGAACATGTGGTGTTTGGTTTTCTGTTCTTGTGTCAGTTTGCTGAGAATGATGGTTTCCAGCTTCATCCATGCCCCTGCAAAGGACATGAGCTCATCCTTTTTAATGTCTGCATAGTATTCCGTGGTGTATATGTGCCCTATTTTCTTTATGTGGTCTATCATTAATGGGCATTTGGGTTGGTTCCAGGTCTTTGCTATTGCAGACAGTGCCACAATAAACATACGTGTGCATGTGTCTTTGTAATTGAATGTTTTATAATCCTTTGGGGTATATACCCAATAATGAAATTGTTGGGTCAAATGGTGTTTCTAGTTCTAGGTCCTTGAGAAATCATCACACTGACTTCCATAATGGTTGAACTAATTTACACTCCCACCAACAGTGTTAAAGTGTCCCTCTTTCTCCACATCCTCTCCAGCATCTGTTGTCTCCTGATTTTTTAATGATTGCCATTCTAACTGGCATGAGGTGATATCTCAATGTGGTTTTGATTTGCATTTCTCTAATGAGCAGTGATGATGAGCATTTTTCCATGTTTGTTGGCTGCATAAATGTCTTCTTTTGAGAATTGTCTGTTCATATTCTTCGCACACTTTTTGATGATATTGTTTGTTTTTTTCCTGTAAATTTATTTCAGGTCTTTGTAGATTCTGGATATTAGCCCTTTGTCAGATGTGTACATTGCAAATTTTTTTTCCCATTCTGTTGGTTGCCGGTTCACTCTAATGATAGCTTCTTTTGCTGTGCAGATGCTCTTAAGTTTAATTAGATCCCATTCGTCTATTTTGGCTTTTGTTGCCATTGCTTTTGGTGTTTTAGTCATGAATTCCTTGCCTATTGAGTTTAAGGTCTGTTTTGCAGATATGTGGAGACTACTTTCAAAGATGGGAGGAGAGAAAGTGGGAAACCAGTTACTTTCAAATTATACTTCCCATGAAATATAGTATATATACTTCTATCATGCTGTAGAGTTGTAGAATTGGCATACAATAATGCTAATTAATTTGATTACATACATTATTTTCATATTGTTTATTACTTTTTCTTAAAACATACATAAAGTGGCCTTTGATAGAGAAAACTAATTAAGAATAGATGTGATTTTTTTCTCACTAAACATTTCTTTCTTTTGAGTATGCCTCTTCTCTAGGTTGATAAAATAATGTTATCAACAATAGGTGCACCCTATGTAATTGTTTTCTTACTGTATGTAAGTTTGTGCCTCAATTTAAAAATTATTAACGTTATTAAGGAAATAATACTTGTCATCTTAGCTGAATGGTTTTTTCTTTTTAATGATACTTTGAAAACTCTTGTATTCAGCAAATAGATCTCTGTTGCTTACTTAAAAATAGGTTAATATTAAGATATTAATCAACACTTCATGCCAATTATAAAGATGTTTTTCATTATTGTATTACTCAAGATATATCATGAAGAAGTTCAGTTCTAAAATATAATGCACTTGAACTTAACTATAGTGTTCATTATTAGCAATGCTTGGTTTAGACATGAATATTTCATTTGGGTTTCTCAGTAAATACTTTCTAGGCTGTCTACACTGATATAGGCAATCATTTGGTGCATTGCAAATTATATAACATTCAAGGCACTGTTCTCTCCAGGTGCCCCTCTTCCAGATGTTAGTTCTAATTTAATAATATCATTTATTAAATAATAAACTATTTAAAAGTATGCAGATTTCTTTAAGTCTTGCCATTTGATTTGTTTTAATGATGAAAATCAGAAGTATTATGAAATAGTGGAGAAAGGACTATTGGAAGAGTTAATATGAAGGAGTTGGCAAAGGCAAGAGTCTGAAAATCTGTGTCTATGGGGAAGCCACTTCCCAACATTTTCTTAATTGATTGATCGGTTAGATAAATGCACACTTCAATATAAATACTAATGCAACCAGTGGTAATTTGGAGGATTTTTAATGTTGTGTAATGGCAAATCATAAAATCTACTTGCTGTGGTCTAAAAACTGAAATGAATAAAATGAATATGCAGTAAAACCAAGAGTTGTTAGTGGTAGGGATAGGTGTTAAACAAAACGTCTCAAGGCAGTGAGTGAGAGCGCTTAGCGGTAAAAACTTTACTAGCCTTCTAAGCTAGACTGCCTGGATTTGGATCTTTGTTAGTGAAGTGATCTTGGACAACTTAATGTCTCCACATTTCAGTTTACAAACCTATACAATAAATTTAATACTTGTACACAATTTCCCAAGGTTGGTGGGTGGCTAAACAAGTGTTAATATGTTTAACAAAAACAAGAACTGTATCTAATAGGTTCTATATATGTTTCAAATATTCTTACAGATCAGAAAGCCCTTACATCCTATTTAAGAAGCTTTATGCATTTCTTTAATCTGAATACTCCCAGATAGTAGCTGTGTAATGAATTCTGCTTATTTTGTTGTCTGCACGAGTTTCGTTGATGAGGGGAATGATTTATTCCAGTGTGCTACTACTGCATTGAATAATTATAGTGATATTGGGCATCATAATTATTCTTGACTTTAATGGAATTTCTTTTAATATTTCATCATTAAGTATTTTGTTTACAGAAATTCCTGGTAGATAATTTTCAGTAAGTTGAGAACATCTCTTTCCATTTATAGAAAATTAAGAGTTTTTTCTTGTTTTAATCAGAAATGAATATTCAATTTAAACAATATCCCACTAGTAGGTCCACCTTTAAATCTCTCCAATGAGGATGACATTCTATTTACATACATCTTATTTACATATTCAGATACTATTTAATTCTATCTTATCCCCACTTAATAATTTTTTCCACTTCTCCCACTGGAATACTTTTCCACAGAAGTAGATTATACTCGTCTGAATCACAGTACATGCTTTTAATCTTGCCAGAGTGTGACTAACACATTTTTTGTGAGTTTATGTAGCAGGAACCACAATTACCAGGGATATTAAAAAGGCACTCTCCCTGCAAATTTTGCTTCTTTCTCTCTGTGTGTGTGTGTGTGTGGGCCGGGTGGGACGGGCGGGGGGGGCTCATAAATTTTACTCAAGAAAAATTTTTTTTAAAATGGTCAATTGGATAATCCATCTTCTGTTCCACACTGTCTTGTCTACTCCATGTACCAAACACTAAGCCTCCTACTCACCAGCTAGCATCTGATGCTTCTCCTCTGAGAAAATATCTTAAGTGACTGTGTTACTTAAAAGAAGAAAATAGAAATAACAAAAACAATTCTGAATTTTACTTTTCTCATCATTATATCTTTATCACATTTGTGGTCCTTGTAGCAGCAACATCCCAGGAGGGTAAAAACCCAGAAGTCAATATTAAACTCTTCTCTTGGTAAATTCTCACCAAGTCCACATGCCCTTATCAGTACATGAGGAAGTTTGGTAATTTAACTCTAAAATTTATCCTGAATCAAATCACTTATTTCCCTTGCACTACCACTTCCTCCCAATCTGATCTATTTCATTTGTCAATTCCTCTCCACTCTCCCAGATCCCACCTGGACTCCTGAAATAGACCCAGCACTGGTCTCCTTTGTCGCCTTTTTATCCTGTCTATACAGCAACCCAAGTCATCATTTTAAAATTACACATCAGCTGACGTCTAGCCAGCTTAAAGCTTCTCAGAAAGTCAAATATGGTATCTTCCGATTTATAAGTAAGTAAATAATATGCACACATGGACAACCAGTGTGGAATGATAGGTACGGGGGACTTGGAAGGGTTGGAGGGGGTGAGGGATAATAAATTACTTGATGAGTACAAGGTAGGTTATTTGGTTGATGGTTACATTAAAAGTCCAGACTTCGCCACTATGCCTTATATTTGTGTAACAACACTGCACTTTTACTCCTTAAATTTACACAAATGATCATTAAAAACTTTTCTTACAGCTTATAAAGCATTTCATAACCTGACTTCTGTGTAAGTCTTCAACTTCATTTCTTGTTTCTCACATTCATTCAGTTTTAGTGACAATGTCAGTCAGCCTGTCTTTTTTCAACCTCAGGGAGCTAATCATAGTCTTTGGTGTATTCATGTCATCAAATTAAATTTGCTTTGTTACATTTTATTTTCTATTTTGTTCCCTTTACCCTGGTCTTACTCTTCGGCACAATCCCCTTACACTCGCTTCTTACGTTAGACTTTCATCTGCTTTTACTGTTTAAACTTCATCATATATTTTGAGAGCTGTTTATATTTATATTGGAATATTGAGCTCGTTACTTCTTTCACCATGCACTATT